GGCGCTACCGCCCCGGCCCCCCCCCCCCGGACATCCTGTGGGACGCTCCCGCGATCCCCGGCGCGCCCGAATAGACATATCAAGATCGTAAACACCCCTTCTCCCGGGGGGAGGGGCGCCCATTCGTCCCGATTCCCGGTCCCTCCCTGTGCACCCTCTCTTGTGTTATTCTCTGCTCCCTCCGACCCCCCCCCCCCCCCCCCCCCCCCTTGCCTCTCCCCTTCGGTCCTTCCCTCTGCCGCCCCCTCCCCCATGGCCGGTCTCTTGCTCGACGAATAGCCTCTTCCACCATTCGGTTGTCTCAAGCCGAGCCCGGCCCCCGGATGCCGGTGGCTCTGGACCCCCGACCGAGCCCCCCTTCCCGGATCTCGGTATGCGAGCTCGTCGGCCAGCCAGCCCCCTGGGGGGCATGCCGGGTTTGCCGTTGCCATCCGCATCGCCCATCTGACCGCTCCCTGCCGCGCCACCTCCTCCCTGTCCATGCGCATGTTCACACACAGTCACCGACACAGCACGACTTGTTGCGTATGTCTTTCCTTCCCCCCCCCCCTCCCTTCTGCCGCCCTCCCTCTCGCCTCCTCTCGACATCTTCCCTCGCTGAGAATGGTCCCGCTTCCCAGCCTCTCGCATATGTTGGTTCCCATGTGCGCCGGGGATCCGGCCGCACAAGATGCCGCCATGTCCTTCGATACGTCGCAGCCATCCGGCCTCTCGCAATCGTCCTCCCAGGCCGCCTTCGGGCTCGGCGATCCGGGCTCCGGGCCCGATGGGTCGCTTTCGACTCAGGGATCCGCCTCGCCGGGCGGGAGCCGGGGCTTGCCAGCTTCGCTGGCTGGTCGCGACCTTGTCCGCCTGGCCCTGGAGCATCTGGACTTCCTGGACCCCTGCCACTTGACAGGACTCCTTCCCGCCGCGACGGGGGCCGCAAACGCCTTTGCCCGGCTGACCCATGCATGCCGGCTTCCGCCGATCCTTCGGCTGACCAGCGGCCCCGGTAGCCCGATCGTCTACTTTGTTCGGCAAGTTGGGGTCTTGACCCCGACCTCGATGTCCGCCTCCGGCTCGGCCGGATGCCAGGTGTACTTTTCCCAGCCATACCGCCTGTGTATCGTCGACTCGCCGGTTCCCTTCTGCGGATGCACCCACTTCCGCGCAGGCGGTGCGAATGCCTTGTCGTCGCTCCCTTCCCATCCTTCAGCTGCGCTCTCACCCGTGAGTTTGCTGACCTCTGCTTTCTCCCCCCCTCCCCCCCCCCTCCGGGCCCAGTCCAACAAGGCACCATCCCTACCGTACGCCGAATGCTCCTCTCATCCGCCGACGCCTTCCTGGCCCATGCTGACCCTCTTTCGGCCGTCTTCCCTCGGGCCATCCTCCCCTCCTAGTGCCCGCACATCCTGGCCATCCGGATTGCGCTCGATTCTCCCAGTGCACGCGAGACCTTGATTCACAGCCTCCGGCTTTCTCCGTGCAGCTCCACCGCTCCCGGCGACGACGCCAGGACCGGTGTTGAGATGGCCCAACTCACTGCCCTGCTGGCCTCCTCGCAACATGTGTCCATCCTGAGCCTGGCGCCTGTTGGCGAGGACCCCCCCGGGCCCCCGTCGACTCGGAGGGCGACCCCCTGTCTGGTGTCATGCCCCAGTACTGGGCGGATACCAGCCTCACTGGTGCCTTTCTGAAGGTGAGGGGGGCGAAAAAAAGCCCCCAGTACCTCGTGCTTTTTTTTTTTTTTCATCCTCTCCCCCTCCCGGGGCCCTTCGGCAAATGGACACTTGGCTGGCTGTCTCCCATCTCCGGTGCCTTTCTCATGGCCCTCCCCTCCCTTGCAAGCAGGACCCATCACACGCACGCACAAGCACACACACACACACACACACACAGCCAGGCGCATGGACAAAAGGGTCTTGTGTATTTATTGTTATATGATACAGGGCAATGTGGCGACACAGCAGCACGCATATGGGCACATTCGTCACCATCTAAGGGAGGCGCACGAGGGCGAGCGCCAGGCAGCCAGGGCCAGGGCGGAGGCCGGGCGAGCAGGCAGGAAGGGGGGCCGGAAATGGACAGGTGGAGTTCGGAAACCGGCGGGATCTCGCACCCCCCGCCCTTCCTGCGCTTTCGTCCGCATGCCGGGGTTGTCCTCGACACGGCATGCCCACTGTCACAATGTGCCGCATATGAGGCGGGCACCGGCAAACAGATGACTCAAGCAAAAGCCTCCAGAAGTACGCGCCCCATGTGTCCCCGCCTTCTCCCGGTGGACGGCCAACGGGTGGCGGGGTGGGCGCCGCGATCCGG